GCCAGTCCTGCTGTTCCGCAGCCTTTGGCCTTTTGCAAGCCCTTTGGACTACAAATCCCATTTTTTTAGAAGCGCACCAAAGTTGGAGGGGGTGGGTGGGTGGGCGAAAGGGGCAGGAGGATGACTGGCAGGCAAGCAAGCAGGGCGCTGGGTCATTCCGTCCGAACGGGAGAGGGACACGTGAAAGTTGCACGGATTCTCCCATTGGGTTTCCCCCGCAGCCCTCCCCGGTCCTCCTCCTCCTCCTCCTGGCTCGGGTCCCCCGCTTTACCTGTGGTGGGCGCAGGCAACAGGCGAGATACCGCAGCACGAATGAAGGTGGCTCCTCTCGAGCACTCGTGGGGGCTGGAAAGCAGCGCGGCGCTCTCACCTCCCTTGCACTGCCCCACCTCCTTTCCCCCCACGTGAAAGGCTGGCGCGGGAGGTTCGCCCGGGAACGAGGATAGCGGCAACTCTGCCGGGCCCGCCCACTCCCTGCGCCACGCCCTCTCGGCCTTCATTCGCGAGGGAAGGGGGCGGAGCTTCTAGGAGCCTCCCTGCGCTGATTGGCCCAGTCCTCCCAAGGCTTCGTGACTGATTGGTTATACAGGTTCCCGGGCTCCGTACTTCCAGAATTTTCTGGAATGCCCATGCTCACCAAAGGTCGTGCACAGGGTTACATCACTTCCGGGCATGCCTCGCCTTCGTTCGGGTGGTTAAAAACACCCGAATTCAGGGAGAGGCAAACGCGGGAGTGAAACAGTGAAGGGATTGACACCGCGTTGTGGGGGGGAACGAGGAGAAATGTAAAAAGGCGGCGTTTGAAAGGGAAAGCCGAGCGTTTCTCCCGCCTGGTGATGGCACGGGAAGCAGTTTCCCCCCCGCCCCCGTGAGTGGGTGTGGCAGGCGCATGCGCGTTCCCTGACCCTTTCACGTGTGGGTTGCGCCGCCGAGGAGCAGGGGGAGCGCGCGCCAGGGCAGCGGCAGGAACCCAGGAAGGGAAGCGTTGGAAGCAGCCGGCATGGTGAGTGATTGACGGGCTTCTGCCGCGCGACCTCTCGCCACCCGTGGAGGAAAGAAGCGAGGGAAGTGGAAGGGAACGAACCTTGAGACCCTTTTCTGGCCTTGCACGATGCGGGGTCTCCATGAGCTCCACCCTGTCTTCTGCCCACTTGTAGACTTCTAACCTAAGGGTAGAGGACACCGGAAGGTTATTCCTGCCCTCTGGTTCTTCGGGATCCTTTGGCTGGATCCTATCAGAGATGCTGGATGAACTCTTGGTTTGCGTTAAAGCAAGCGATAATGCAGAAACGGGGAAGACTTAGATGCGGAAATATTTGGGAGATTATGTGGAGGAAAGGTTTTGCACGTGTCTTTGTCTTCCTCCTCTATTGTTTGAGAGTGGCATTGCACACGACTAAGACCTCTCTATAAATAATATTCGCTATAAATAATATTCGCCATAAATCAACTCTGGGTTACTAGGCGGAAGTGAGATGTTACTTAACTTCTAAAAAGTTAATTGGCCAAAATTTATTTTGCGCCTGAGAACATTACTACGCCCTCTGCGATGGGATTATTAATTCAAGAATAAGTCTAGTTGGGATTTCCCCCCCCCCCTTTCATTTAATATTTTAGCTAAAACCGAGGCATCATCCTAAAAGCTTTGTTCTGTTCACGCTGGATTTTGAAATAGGCATGTTTGCATATAGCGCATCTGCAGCCAGTTCTTGTTGAAATGAATATCCCATCGAATTCAGGGGGACGGTGCCAGGCAAATGAGTGTATGTGTGGTTCTTATTTGAAAATTTGTGAACTTTTGTAACTACAAAATTGTGTAGGATGGTTGCTGTGTGAAATTTATCTGATATGTAGAGCCAGCTCCCATGCTTTGTGAAGGGAAGCTGTAATAGTTAACGCCCATTTAAAGACATAAAGGTCACAGAGAGAATGGGGGGGGGGGACAGAGGAAAGAGACTTTATTTTTTTAAAAAGACACGTGTAAAGTACTGCTTAAAATTGGTTTCCATGGGAAATAGAACTTAATTATCTTTGGGCTGGAAATGTTTTAGTGGGGAAAAAAAATCCCTTCCTGCTGTCCTGTTCATGTTTAATTTCCTTTCTCACCTCTTTTGGTGGAAAAGAAATCTTATTTCAAAACAGGATTGATAAATTGTTTTGAGCCCTCTTGAAGGCACCCATGGATGTATTTGGAAGTGTTTGTTGTTTGTGAATGTCTGTTTTGCAGACTTTGCTGAAAAACCCATAGAAAAAAGATATATTACAAGCATTATATCCGTTTTCAGTTACTTGCATGCCATGCATATTTTTCTATATGGGTGTGTGTGTGTGTGCTCAGATTTCTTCTGCTGGTGCAACAGTGGCCTCTAAAGGATTCTAGAGTACACTGGAAGAATCTTCTAGTAATTTCTGCCACCATCCATGCCATAATCTGGGTAGCTCTAGAATCAGATAGAATGTATTGAAAGAAACATCCTACATGAATTGACTAGCTTCCTTTTGATTCCTTTTGTTTTTACTTAAATAAAACAAGTGGTTACTTTTTGAAATCATTTACTATTTGTGCAAGTAAATTGCATAACATCGGTTTATATTTAACTATATATATATTTATTGCATGATAATTTACAGCTGGTAGTATGAATCTGCAGCCAACTCATTTGGTGCATTTAACTGAGTTGAATAAAATACCTAAAGAATTTTTAAAAATCACACTAAAATACCGGTGGTATGGTAGCCAAGCTTTCCAAATGCCCATCCAAAGTTCACTATGCTTAAACTGTTGAATGTTAACTTAAATTTTCTTGCAGTTAATTATTTTC